CCCCACTTAGCTGTCAGTACATGCCTCAAAAACAACAAGTCCATCAAAAACCACTGAACAAGCACTACCAAAAGCTCCTGAACTGAGAATCAATGGTGACTAATGAACCATTGAATCCATCCTGCAGCATTTGGTAAAGGAAGCACTTGCCAGTCCACTAATTTCTGAAAAAATCCACCAGCTGATAAAACACATGAAGAACAACAAAGTATCTGTCCCTGATAACATACCAGATGAGGTCTTCAAAGATGGTGGGGAAACGATGACCAACAAGCTCCATACACTGTTCCTTAAAATCTGAAGCACTAAAATACCCACAGACCTAAGAAATGCCAATATTGTCACCATTACACAAAGTGCCCAATCAGCAGCTATACCCAGGTCTCCCCACAGACCCCAGCATCTTCCCCTATGCAGGCAGGGGTCTCCTATGAGAAGTGCCTCAGAAGAAGTGCACATGGCATTGGACAAGCCATGCCAACTAATGCCCAAACGCTTGACTCCTTAGCCTTAATCAAGGGACACACTGCCTGCCAAGGCCTGCTGGCCTCCAGCAAACAGTACAGAGGCAGGGGCTGTCCACTAACACAAGACACCCTCTCTCCTTGGGTAGTTTCCCTACTCTTTTCCCCAGGCCTCAGCAGCCTCCACCTTCTCCAGAAGGATGGAGCAGGGACCAAGAGGTCTCTTCTCTGTTGCTATCAGCCGACAGGCTGGAGGGGGAAAAAAGCTGACACCTAAGAAGAAGAGATTGTCCAATGTTTGCTCCTGGGAAGAGGCCTAGGAAGTTGGGAGTCAAGCGCAGTTGTGAGACAGGATCTAAAACCTTGAGATTGTCCATGGCCTTTTTTTCCCCTGCTCCCTCAGCTCACAGGTCTGGGAGCACATCACACAAGACCCCTTTGGCACTTACATGTGCCAGGTGTGCCAGGAAAAAGGCCCTTCAGGTGTAAAGAAAGGCACTGCCTCCCTGCCAACGCGATAACGGCAGCTCAACAGCACCCCACTGGGCCCAGGCAAGGAGACCCTGCAAGAAGGACTGCGAGCTAAGGGAGGGGAACAGGACTGGGATCAGGGTCCTGCCTTCACTGGAGAAACGTGTCTAACAAAAGAGGAGGGCGATGGCAGCTCCCGCAGCGGGGACCCGTCCCCGTCCTGTGCCGTGCTGCTGGCTCAAATCACAGCACCAAGGCACTGGTGGCATTGGACACAGGGGACGGGGACACGGGGGAGGTGACCAGGGCCTCAAGCGCCTCGTAGGTCCCCACCACGAAGCCCACGAAGCCGATGATGCTGATGAGGATGTCCTTGGCAATGGTGACAGGGTGGAGGCCCTCCTGGAAGTATGTGAAGATCTCCAGGAGCGGCGGGATGATGAGGGCCAGCGCGCTGCTGCTCACGGAGCCCACCAGAGAGATGACGATGTCCAGGCGGGGGATCAGGATGGCCAGCACACCTGGGAGAGACAACACAGAGCTTAGCTGTAGTTTGGACAGGGCTGATCCTGCCTCAGGCAAGGGGTGGACCAGATGTGGGGCTGGAGGGGCACTCTGGAGGTCCGATTCTAGGATCACTGGACAACTGGAGGTCATGGGCTAAGTTGGAGACCCCCACACCCACTTTCTACTCCTCACCTGACCCCTGCACCAGGGTACAAGGCAGGGCAGACCCACCCTCCTTCACCTCACTTGCTTACAGCAAGCCTGCTAGCAACACTACCCTAACTTCACCCCATGGCATCTCAGGCCTGATCTAGACAGGAAAGTTAAAAGACCTGCCCAAGGTCAGATGGGAAGTCAGTAGCAGAGCGCCAAATGGGGTCTCCCCCATCCAAAGCTCATGTTTCAAGTGCCAGGTCTGCCAGAGGGCCTGCTGGCTTTGAGCAAAGGATCACTGTAGCTCAAACGCAACCCTCACGTGCACTGCTGCTTTCCCCCAGTTAACTAATGCCAAAGCACCTCGAATTCAATGCTATTTAATGCACAAGCTCCTAGGCTCTCTGTACAGGAAAGCCACTGTTAACCCACAGGCAAGACGAACATGTGGTGTGGGAACAAGAGATCCAAACACTGCAAGTCACAAGTTGCAGCTGCATTGCCATTTTTGCTCCCCGTCCTCAGGGCAGCCACGAGTTCAGGGGGTTGTAACCGCCTTGCCGTGCTGGCGCCAGCTTCCCGAAAACGGAGCAGCTCCCATCCCTGGGACGCGGCATTATTCTGCCTCCAGGACCGTCTCCATTTGCTCCCCCGTTCAGCCTGGTCTCCCCTCCCGGGGCCTTCAAGGGGCTGTTGCTAAACGCATCGGTGCAGCAGGCCAGAGCTCAGCAGGCTTATCCCTGCCTTGATCCAATTACACTGAGAATGAGGCTCATTTAGTAAAAAAAAAAGAGGGGAGAGTTAATTGCCGTCATCTCCTTAACAGGGACTCCCATGTGGCTCATAGGGAAAGAGGAACTGGAAGTCATCCATATAGTAGGTCACTGCTGCAACCCCAGACTGGTTAGGACTCATGTTCAGTCTAGCCAGTGTTGGGTTTTCTGCTGAGATGATACGAGCTCGACAACCCACCGTGGGACAACAAGGTCAGCTGGGGTCGTGAGCACTGGCAGATGTGACAAGCCTGCCTGGTCAGCACGTTCCCCTGTTCTCCCACCTCTTCCATCCACCCTGGAGGACACCGTGTTCCCTGAACGGCCTCCCCCAGGGTCACAGCCCAGCACCGAGAAACCAAGGTCTCGCTCTGTGGATGAGGTTTCTCTGAGGACTCCTGCTCAGACACTGCAGCTCATTCAGGGAGGATGGCGTGGAGCTTACTGAAAGAGGAAGGAGAACTGAGGAAGAGCAGAGGAGCACTGGAGCAGCCGCCTGGCCCGACTTCAGACTCGCTTCACATGGGTGACAGCAGCGCCTGCGAGACTCCTGTGAAGTCCACTGCCGAGCACGGGTTTGGTACCTCTGTGCAATAGGGGCGTTATGCCGGGACATCGCAGAGTACCACCCTCTGCCAGGCTGCACATTTTTGATGTGCGCCTCCACCGAGCTCTCCCTGTGCTACGGCAGCATCTCATTCACTTCTGTGACAAGCAAAGCCCCTGGCAGGAAGATGCGGCTAAGAATTACACGTGGTACTTCCCAGCAAGCACCACGTGGGGGCTCATCTCACCAGGACCTGGAAAAAGTCTCAACAATCCTATTATCCTCCTACAGTCAGGAGAGACCCTAAAGGACTTCCCAAGGGTAACAGCGCAAGTCAGCAGCTGCCTCCCAAGGGGTCCAGGCAGCTAATCCAAGCCCCAAGTTTCCATAGCAAGATGCTGCTTCCTCAGTGTTTGCTCGAAAGCAGGAAGGGGGCATCAAATGCATGACGCTAGGACAGAACCGGGCACAGGAGAAGCAGTGCTGCAGCGGAGCAGAGCCGCTAACAGTGCAGAGGAATCACAGCAACGTGGCAAGATGCTGCCCCCATCATCCCCCAGGCTTCCCGCTGATATGCATTCAAAGGGCTCTTAGCTGGATGGGATCGGGGCCACGTGAAGCCCAGAGCACATCCTCCAAGCAGCGAGCTGTGACCATGAGAACATGCCAATTAGCTTTTGTTCATGCCACCCACTTCGCTGCTTTGATCTTGGAGAGCTTTAGCTATACCCTCTCCCCTCTGAAACACCGGTGCTTCAGGATAGGAAAGAATCTGGTTCCCTGGACTGCCTCTGGGGTGTACAAAGGGCTTGGCGTGGGAAGCCAATGCTCCAGGCTTGTACCCATCACCTGCTCCGGATTAATCAGCGTTTCAGCCTCCTGGCCTAGTATGCCGCAACCTTCATGGTCCACAGTGGAACAAGGATCATTTCCAAGTGCCCCAGGACGGTCCAGCGTTTCCAAGTGCCCTGTTCCAGTAGTTGCCTCCCACCCGCAGCAGGCAGGAAGCCAAACGCTCACTCCAGAGCTTTGACAACAAGCCACCTCCATGTCCTCGGCGACTCTTACCTGCCCTCCTGGGTGCTGCAACTCAGCAAGAGCTGTGGCAAGCACCCTTGTGCCAAGGAGGAAGGAAACAGGCACTCAGAGCAGCCAAGCTGCGTTTCCAAGAGGAAAGTGCCTGGGAAGGTCAGTTGCAGGAACGTGGGGCCAAGAGGGACGTGCAACAGCATCCAGCCCAGGCCCCTGCTCCAGGGCTGCATCTCCAGACAGGACCATCCCTGACAGATGTTCATCTCCTGTTCGAAACCTCTCTAGCACAACCCGCAACCTCCCTGCAGCCTACATGAGCATTTCACAGTCCTTACTCTTGCCTTTGTACGAACGACCACCGACTGGGTCAGACCCTAGGTCCATCTTAGAATCACAGAAAGTTAAGTTTGGGAGGGACCTCAGGGGGTCACATCTAGTCCAACCCCCCTGCTCCAAGCAGGACCAGCCCCAACTACATCATCCCACCCACGGCTTTGTCTACCCAGGTCTTAAAAACCTCCAAGGATGGAGACTGCACCACCTCTCTGGGTAACCTGTTCCAGTGCTTTACTACCCTCCTCATGAGAAAGTTCGTCTTAATATCCAACCTCAACTTCACTTGCTGCAACTGGAGCCCATTGCTCCTTGTTCTGCCATCTGCCCCCACTGAGAACAGCCCAGCTCCATCCTCTTTGGGACCCCCCTGCAGTGCCTTGCCTAGTCTCCCACAGTGCCAGACAGCAGATGCTGAAAAGGGAGAGTGAACAAGACATGACTGGGGTTTTTCTCCACTCTTCCTCTCTCACTTGCAGCCTCCAGCATTTAAAGTCTAGGAATTCCTTCAAGTCCTAACTGCAAATTCAACAGATTTCGTATCCTTTTAGAGAAATGCAGAACAGCCTCTTGTAAGAGCCGGCAGCCACAAAGGCACAAGGTTGCACAGCATCTGTTCTACATACAGCCCTAGCCAGCACCCCAATGATCCTAGCCCACAGGCTTTAAGGGGACTCTAAAGGGTGTCAGACAGCCTGGTCATTTTGTAATACCAACCCACATTTAGACTTGGGGCATGGATAAGAGGTAAATGGGTTGAGAGCAGCTTGCTAGGACCACAGGCTGCTCTGGCCATGCCAGCTGGCTTCAGAAAACACCATCCCTTCATCCACTGGGTCAGAAAGCCAGCTGTGCGCAGGGTTACTCACAGGTTACGCAGACCAGGAACGTCCGCAGGAGAAGGTCGACCGCCAGCGCCCAGCGCTGCGGCACACGGGATACGGCAGAGGGGACGATGATCTCGGCGGGGACGTAGAACTGCAGCGCGTAGGTGAAGAAGATGCCAAAGGAGTAGAGCAGCTTGACAGATTGGTACAGCCTGTGAACAGGCAGAGGGAACCTGGTCAGAGCCTGGCACAGCCCAAGGGCAGGCTTGCAGACGACGTGGAGGTAAAGCAACCCTGTGACGTAGATTTGCCAGGCGAGCCTGTCCTCAGTGCAGAGGCACTGGGGGTCAGGTTTTCCACTGCACCCCAGCACCAAGAGATCTATCTAGGTTCCTAGCAGCCTGGCCATCTGCTCTGCAGACCTCAGGGAGTCTCTGCAGACTCTAGACAGCACAGACACGGCAGGAGGCAGTTTGCATTCGAGTCTTATCCTGTGCTCTGAAAATAAGCTATTAAATTGCACACCCCCCCACCCTCAAAATACCACCCAGTGTTGGCCAGAGATTTGAACTTGTGCACGTACCACTGTCTACTGTGCCACAGAATAGTGAAACAACCCTTGGATCTGAAGCTGTTTAGCTACAAAACAGATATGGGTAACAGGACAAGCTACCTGCTCACCCCACCTCCCACGCCTGGCTGGTGCAAGGAATGCAGGGAAGGTAGGCAATGACCTATCCTGTCTACAGTAATGCCAACACCCACCCAGCACCTTGGAAAGCAGGTCGAGGCTGCAGCTGACCTTACCAAGACAGTGCTAGGTGTCTCAACTCCCAGGCACCTACGCTGGCTCCGAGCCAGCGAGCTAGAGATAAAAACGGCTGCTTTCTATCACCTGTCCCCTGAGCTCTCATCCCCACCTTTGCCAACAACACTCAGGTTCTTTGCAGGGGGAGGGAAAGGCTCCTGTTTCCCTTGCTGCAGCAAGCATGCTCTTCCTCTGTCCCTCCAATCAAAAGAAGATCAAGGATATCTTCAGAGCAGCTCACCAGCTTCAGACATGACTGGCCACAGGTTTCAAGCGGGGCACTTCACCAGCACTGCAGTTAAAACTTGGTGACAAACACGCCCTACCAAGCCAGTCCCCATGATCCTCCTGTACCCCAAGTTGCCATTCTGCTGTCTGGAAGCAGACAGGCACAGCTCCCAAAAAGCGTCAGCTAAGCTCTGCACCATCACATGTCTTAAATCCTTACCCTAGGGTCTGGGGAAGTCCTAAAAAAAGCTTCTATTAAAATGCCAAAAGTTGCTTACTTATAACATCAACCGAGTACCCTGCCTAGAAACAAGCTGCTTGCCTGTTATTTTGAAGATGTAAAGGGCTTAGTGTTATTGCCCATCACAGAGGCCAGAAGCATTCTGTTCCCTAGGGGCTGTGCTGTCCAAATGGTGAAAAAAAAACAAAACTCTTTTTTGTTGGTAAATCTTTACTGAAGTATGAAAGTGGGATAATCCTAAGGATTGATGATACTTGAATAAAGTTACTGGAGGATGCATACATCAATGTGTTGCGATGGGACTATTTTCCTTCAAGGAGAAAGTGTGGTAAAGTCTTTAAGGACGAAGCATGCTGGAAGTCTTTTGGCAGAAGTACAGAGCCCAGCTGTGTCCAGAGATCTCCCCTCCCCTCCCCCATCTCTTCTGCCCAGCAGAGTGCTGGAGGGGCAAGCCAGCACATCCTGCTTCTCCAGCCCCCTCAAATCCAGACACTGCAGTGATTAGAAATCAAACATTTCAGAAATGGGACAGCCTCAGAGAGGGAGTGTGGGCTTGTCCTTCACGTGCAACTCCGGATTGAAGCTGGCCCAGAGTCTGGAGCACCACAGAGGTTTGGTCAAGTCTGAACCTGAGCTCTCATCTATGAAAGCGGGGACAAGTTTATCTCCTACGCTTCAGATCATAAAGCTTTTTAGAGCTGGGGCCATCATGCTACATGCTTCAGTGCCAGGAGACAACCAGCCTCCTCTCTCACTTGGGACTGTAGAAGGCACCTTTTGAAACAGCCCCAGGCCTTACCAAGATGGAGCAGCAATTTAAGCACCGCTGTGCAGCCAAGCCAAGCATCTCACTACAGACACTATCAGCCACTTACCCAGGATCAAAGCAGCAAGACGAACCCTTTGATGCAGAGGCCTTAAAAGCCAAAGCAGGCGGTGCAGACTGCTCTGTGAGCCCTGGCTGCTCTTGCTCTCTAATGGCCATGCACATGAAACAAGTACTCAAAAGCCACCTGTGATTCAGGGTGTAGGAGGTTTGTTGCAACCCATTTGACTTGGGAGTAAGAGATGGCTGGAAAAAGCCTAGCAACCAGCCTTTCTGCAATGTCATGTGCCACCACCTGCACCCAGCCTGCTGTCAGGAGCAGCACACAGCACAGGATGGGGAGAGATGTTTCTTTCCAGACTTTGGAGCCTCTCTGCAGCCAAGGGGGAGTTTATCCTACCAGGTAAGGGAGCCTAATTGGAGCTGCCACCTATAAGCACCTCCTGGGAACAGCAGAGATAGCCAGTTTCAAGACTTAAGAGCTCAAAGGCCAACTCTCGTATAAAGGGCATCTGGCCTGACACCTGCAATGTGTTCCCAGCCTCTGAAGGTTTCTGAGCACCCTGGGCCCACGAGCCTATATTAAGTCAGCACAGCCTGAGGTCTCAGGCTTTGAAGACAGATAGCACTGCTCTTGCAGCCCCTCCTTCCCAATGCCCCAGCTCCTTTGGAACAGGCACCATCAAACTCTGGAGACGTGGCCAGTCCAGTCCTGGACACTGGCTGGGCCCCCAGAGCAATGCAGATTAGCATTTAAAATCTCTATTAATTCCAGTGAGGTGCTGCTGACAGCAGACTATTGGCTGGCTTTTATTCAGATTAACTCCTAATGCTGCCAAGTGCCAGCCTGTGCTCTCAACCAAGTGACCCCCGCTAGCTGCAAAGCGGCACACAAACCATGGTTGTGAAGACCCTGCTTTGAGAGAGATGCGGGGACTGACCAGCAGTTGGGCAGGTTGAGGGTGATGCTGGCCTGGATGTCGGCTCCAAACCGCAGGTAGCCCAGGGCCCCCAGGCTGATATACAGGACAGAGACGATGGCCATCCCCACGTAGAGGATCACAGGGAAGTGCTGCGGGTTCTTCATTTTGTTTTCGAGGGGCAGCACCTTGGGGAGGCAGAAGAGAAAACACGTGAGCGGCGTTCCCATCCTCGCCATCGTGCCAACAGGTTCCAAATCTCACACGTTACCCCTTAGCCATCATCTCACTGGATGCAGCAGGACCTGGGACCCCTACCCCAGGAGCCCAGACCCAGCAAAACCCTACTGGTCAGCACAGCCCAAGGTCAAGGGTGGGATAAGTTATTTCAGGCTCCAATCTGACCCATTCAGCCTGGCTAAGGGCAAGGAAGTACACAGGATGAGCCACAGCTGGGGATTCCCGGAGATGTGCAGACCACAGGAGCAGTCCCGCATCGTCCTGGGCTCTGCGAACCCCCTTCCATCATGAGCTCAGTTCTTGCAGCAACAATTATATTGGACTTGCAACGTCACATGGGAGATGCTGCCGTAGGGAATGGACCAGGACACCCCCCTTTGTCCACCAACTGCGTGGCTGTGCCTTTCAGAGACATTTGGTCTGGGTCGTTTGCTTTTCCAGCCGACAGGCAGCAGAAAGAATGACCGGCTTTATCCCTCGATAACAGTGCAGCACGATGTTGACGGCATGTCGCCTTCCCTCTACTCAAGACCCAAGCCACTGGGAGAGCAGAGCCTCTGAACTGCAAAGGGAGGTGCTTTTGGGGGAGCATTTCAATAGCTGCTGTGTGCCCTTGGGCCACAGAGTATTTAAAGAAGGGCCATGACTAGGACACTGTAGCACAGCTGTTGGACTGGAAAAAAAAGAGAGACTCAACCCCCAACAGCTCATCCCTAACCCTAGTGTCACGGTTCAGTTTTCCACGTCCAGCGCACAACATTTTTGGGACGTGCAGCTAGTGCTCTCCTAGCCAGGCAGAACAGATGCACACCTCCACTCCAGCAGGTATCACCTCGATTAAGCATCACAGGGCTGTACACTGCTCACCCGACCCACTTCCACCTTCTCCCTAGCTGTCTGCTCCACAGCCCCTGCTTGGAGGCAGAGGTGCCAACTCACAGCACAGGAAACCAAACCTCAACTGCCACACAAGGAAGAACTGGCTGCTTCATGGGCGAGATCAGGTCAGGACATGGCCACAGAAATGGAAATGGCTCTTTGGCTTCCAACTAGGGAGCTTCCAAATCCAGCCTGGGAGGGGTGGCCCTCTTAGGCCCCCGTCATTTGGGCCAGAGGTAGTTTCCAAGACAGCGCAAGTCAGAACACCCACTGCCAAAGCACCAGACCTGGAGGCTTTCAAGGAAATAACTAAACGTTTGCAGCTTTCACACTGAAAGGCATTTTGTGCCCCGTCACCCCTGCAGCCAGAGGAAGCAATATCGATAGATACAATGAACACCAGTCACCGAAATCCAAAGCAGGACTTAAAGCAGTGGTCTCCAAAGTGGGGTGCACGCACCCCAGGGGGTGCAGGAAGAAAATATCAGAACTTCTATTGCAGTTAACGGGTGCCTGGTTAATACAAATATTGGGGGTGCGTGCTCAAAAATTTTTTTTTTTTTTTTTTTTTTTTTTTT